GTTTTGCGAGATCTCGCAAAAGTCCGTCTTAATTTTTTTTCTCCCATGTCCCCTGCGGGGCTCCGTAAAACTGTCTATAATTTAAAGTTATTTAGTTTTTCTGCTAAACATAGCACTTGGGGTTAGTATAGCTAGGGTACTTAGACCTGGTTTCATAATGTGTTTTACTGAAGCAGCTCATTAGTATACTTTTTAAATTAAAAACCAATTTAATAGTCTGCCTCTTTAAAATGTTATTTAATTAAAAACAGTTTTGAAATATAATTAAAGGCTAAAACATTTTGTACAGGGTGTAAAAAGAATCAAAACTCCATCCTGATCTGATTAAACGCCGTACCTGGTTGTGCAGGTGCCATGTCTGATAATCTGCCTCTATGCACCTCCTGTTGAAAATGGACCTGAAGTCTATTTTCACCAGTTGCCACTCCGATCGATGACTGACATGTCCGAATATCCTGAAAAAAAGAAAGCAGACGCACACGCTGCGCTCGTTAAATGCAAAACACGATTTGGATAATGATCGAACTAAAACGATGTTAAAGGAAAAGTCTGGCGAGCAAATCCCACACGAAGATCAAAGCCGCGAGTGAATTCATCCTGCTAATAAGCATTGTCTGATGAATCTTATCATCTAGGCCACAGAGCTGATGCTTTTTTGACCACACATGATTAAAAACACATCTGTGAGGCTCGTTGCTGCGTTTGAATGTCGTGAGCCATCATTATCGTGAAAGGAAGCACGGAGGTCTATTAACGTTGATCCCGCGCATTCAGCTTTCGGATGCTCCAAATACACTTCAGAGCATCAAACTGAAAGTGCAACCAGAAATAAACAACTTCATTAGCTAGCATTTGATACTACCAGCAGTGGGCAGCTGTTTTAGGAAATTACAGAGAGCCTTTAAAAGTGAAATACTAAACAGCTGATAAAGACTGTGAGTTAGAAAGAGACAAATGCTTCAACAGATGATCTGCTGCTGCAAGCATGGATATATAAGATTTACAGGTTTGTGTCAGGGCACTGGGTCTTTTGAGATTATAGTGTTTTTGTGACTCTCACATTATAAAGAGGGTTTAAGTTCAACGTTTACAGTTCAGCCTTCAGTTTAATTCTTTCTATGTTTTGAGTTTTTCTTGTCTTTGAAGTCTAGAGTTGTCTATTAGGTCCTCTTTGAGTCCTTGTCCTTGTGTCCCTCTCTCTTGGGATCTCAGGTCTTAGCCTTGTTGTTATGTCTCTTCTCCCTTTTCTGTTCTCATGTTCCCCACCCTGCCATGTCTCCCTCGTCCCTCCCTCTCTCCTCTCTGTGTCTCTCACTCTCTAATTCCCCGAGTCCTCGTCATGTCT